CAGAGATTTCGATTATGTGAGCACGTTCTTTTGGGACTTATAGGTCCGTTGGGGTCCCTATTAGTGGAGTTTATGATTGGATGACTATGTGGTGAGTATGATGCGACTGCAAGATGTGTTCAGAATGTTCGAATGTGACGAGAAAAGTTTACTTGAGATGTAGCAAGTACTATTGGGTGTTTATTTTCTGTCTTGATTTGGTGTATGGTCTCGAGTTATGGGTGTGTTGAGGGATCTCTCATGTTGTTTAGTTATGGAGTAAAGTAGATTCTCATGTCTTGTTGATGAGCTCAGAATCAAGAAGATTAAATGATTGCGTAGTAGTCGTGACTGTGGAAGGGTATAGAGAGGTATGAGTTTGAGACAAAGCAGGTGGGTTGTCTCCTGCGAGGTGTCCTGAGGTTGTGTGATCCCTATGATGTTTTGTAGAGAGTTCTCCTTTACCAGTGAATGATATTTGTGCGATTTGAGTTTGGATCGGTTGTAACAGTTGACTTGACTATCACGAGGATGAATGCGAGAATTGCAGATGATTTGAGGTATTATATGGTTTGTGTTACATGAGCTTACGAAGGATTTAGTTGAATTTTAGTGTGGGATTCTGGCAGTAATAGAGTATGGGTATTGTGATGTTATCGAGTGTTTTGTTCTGTGACTTTGAGCCAAGTGGGGGAGTCTGCTATTGATGAGTTGATTGCACCGTTATATGTTGTATTGGTTTCGGTTAGGGGTATACTAGTGAATCAGTTATGACTTGCAGAGGTCGAGATCGAGGATGACTCGGGTAAAGGAAATTCGGGATACAGATTATATTACACTCTATGGGTATATGGGAATCATAAAATAATTGAGTGGTTATTCGTGAAGGGTGTAGTGTACATGGAGTAGGAATTTGCGCAGTTGCTTAGGAGTGTGGGTTACTCCCTTGGGTGTTGGTGTGCTAATGTGGCACAGGTCATTCGGTCCGTTTGGTCGGTGTAATTGAGATTTGAGTAGAGTGGATGACTCTCGAGAATGGTTCTAATGGATTCAAGATTTATATGTAGCGATTTGGAATTTTCAAGATTTGTATATGGCTAGAAACTGAGAGTTACATTGGATGGCGTCGAGACTTGTGGCATTTTTATACCATTGTGGATTATGCATTTCAGAATCAAGGAGGTGAAGGAAACATTTTTAGGTTCACATAAGGTCTCCTTAGAGTGGGTGTCGTGGTTGTGGTGCTTTGGGGGTGCTTAAGAGGGAAGTCAGCGGCTTAGGACAACTTGATAGTAGGTTGGATCAGCACAGTAATGAATATAATCGGTTCTTTGGGTACTTATGATGTAGCTAGTCTCCACTGGTGTTTCATGGCAATGCTCTTGGGTTTTGGCGACCTGTATGACTGGGTTGAGTTAGAAAGATTCGGTTCTGATAGCTTGGTTATGTGCAAATGGATTTCAAAGAGTTCTCAATGGTGTTTACCACGGTTCGAGGAGTATATTTCCTATCGGCGTGAGGAATATGTTGCGTATTGGGATTTTCTCAAGGATGAGATCAAATGGAAGGTTTCTGACTCATCGAGTATGTATTCTTCTTGGGACTCAGAGTTGATTATGAGATTCTTGTACTCTTCGCAGGATGGCATGGTAGATGCGGTGTTGTGTGGGATTGAGATTTGCATATGCAAGGTCACAAGTTAGTTTGGAAGGGAATGGCATAGATTCGTAGGCAGCATGGACGATTTCAGATGACTAGGTAACTGATATTACTAATCGCTATGGCTTGATGAGAGTATACATTTCAGAAAGGGCAATGTGTTTTGATTTATGGATACTTCACGGGTACTACGGCACTCTCCTGGTTGATCGACTGCTGATACTCAAATTTTGCTAGGTGGCACAGAAGAATTTTAGAAGTATTCCTCGTGGGATGATCGTATATGAGATGTGTTAGACATTCGGGTGGTGGAGATGGAATCAGATATGGTGATTCGTGTGTTTTATGGATTTGGAGGCTAGGAGTTCTCAGGAGCAGATTGTTTCATGGTTGTGGACTGTGAAGTCATAGCCGAAGCTAGCTAGACAATACTATGTGTTATGATTCAGTCACTGTGGGCTTTTGGAGGGTTATTTATCCATGTGTGGGTGCCCAGAGTTGATTTGGGAGTCCATTGGTAGGCCCAATTAGGATGTGTATTCTACACCGAGCCGGATTGGTTGGCCCCATACTGCTATTGTTGAGGGATGTGCCATTTGGTTGTTGAGCTTATTCGTGTTCTAAAATGATCTGTGAGTTACTCTTCTATGCTACGAGGAGTTGTGATTCGTTGGTTATATGCACATATGGTGCGGTTCTATTGGGGGCCTTATAGCGGAATTTGAGCGAGATGAGTATTTGGGTATTGCATGATTGATTGCATATTGGTTATGTCCTTTCGAGTTTTGGGTAGCATTGTGTCATTGGCTTCTCCGTGGTTATGGTAATGCACTTTGGGTACTTGATGTCGAATTGTGCGTGGTTATTGATTTTGAGCATGTTGGCTGAGGTATTTCATATGGATTAGTGTTTGGATGGGGTCGCGCATGGCGGCAGAGTTATGTTGAGATATTATCCTTTGTGTTAGATTCGTGTGTTATGGTTCTACGGTGTGATGGGTTCTTAGCATTGCGTTGGGGTGGCACCCGTCGATCTTGCGGGACGGTTCTCTTATTTGAGTCATTTTTGTGATTAAGTACATTTGGAATGTTGCTTATTGGTGCACAGATTGCACGGGTTATGGCTTTAGATAGTATTGGTGTGGCATGTCAGTAGAGTAGCTGGTATTTGATAAGGTGAAGTCGTCGGATCTAAGATGGGTGCTCTCAGGTTTGATTGTGGTATATTTGGAAGGATAATATCGAAAGTCGGCTTAGAAATTTGCTATGATTCTTCTCGAAGGAGAGGGAGCTCCACGACTGGTTGATCTGATGAATGGTTATGAGTTTCTGCGTGTTCCTTTCATCATCGGTAGTGTACGAATGTTTCGGAATGATGTCTTGTTTGATATGAGGTTTATTACCGGCATTGGGTTGTTTTGAGCAGCTATTGTAATTAGAAATCATTGCTTCAAGTATCTGTGTTATGGGATATATCATGCGATTGTATCTTAGGTTATGGTTGCGTCTTGGTACAACTTGTTCAAACTTATACAGGGTGTAGGTTGCGAGATTCAGATCTTATAAGAAATTCCTTATGTTAGAAGTTAGATTCTAAGGCTTGTGGGCTAGGTTGAATTGAGAAATATCTGCTATGTTGTGTTATCAGACCTATATGGGATAGGGTGACGTGGGATCACCCCGGGTATGTGCATGGCAAGGTTATACAACGGTTTGATGACTTTGAGAACAACTCTGGACACGTTCGAGGACGAACGTATGTTTAAGTGGGGGAGAATGTAACGACCCAACCGGTTGTTTTGAGCATTTACACTCCGCTCGGTAGTTTACGGGCGTGAGTCGTTTCGTATGATGTATTATGACTTATGTGAATCGTCGGTTTTAATTTTCAGGTTATTCGGAATCGAATTGGAAGAATGAATTTCATTGTTGAAGCTTTAAAGTGGGAGAGTTGACCAAGTTTGACTTTTGTGAATTTGATCCTGGAACGGAGTTTTGATGGTTCCGGTAGGTCTGTTGGGTGATTTTGGACTTAGGAGTGCGTCCAGATTGTGATTTGGAGGTCCGTGGTTGAATTTGGCTCGAAATGGCGAAAGTTGAAATTTTGGAAAGTTTGACTGGGAGTGGACTTTTTGATATCGGGGTCGGATTCCGATTCCGAAAGTTGGAGCAGATCCGTAATGTCAAATGTGACTTGTGTACATAATTTGAGATCAATCGGACGTGATTTGATAGGTTTCGGCATCGGTTGTGGAAGTTTGAAGTTTCAAAGTTCATTGAATTCGAATTGAGGTGTGATTCGTCGTTCCGATATTGTTATGTATGTTTTGAGGCCTCGAGTAGGTCCGTTTTATGTTATGGGACTTGTTGGTATGTTTGGACGTAGTCCTGAGAGGCCCGGGTGAGTTTCGGACTACTTTTTTCCTTCATTCTTCACTGCTGGTTTTGCTGATGTCTGGTGCACCCAGTGTTCTTCGCGATCGCGGACTGAGGGATGCGATCGCTCCAACATTAAAACTCAATATATATATAATTTACTAAGGCCAACAGTACGCCCGAAGTCAGTCAGTTTTAGCCAAGNTCTTAACGGATAATCCGTTAACCCGTTAAGAATATATATATATATATATATATATATATATATACACACACACACACTCACACACACACACACACACACACTCCAATCGTGTGATTTGATCGAGTATATGTTATGGTTGCTACAACTTAAATTTTAATATAGCACTACATCTTATAACATTATACATTTTGTTTTTAAATGTGTTATAGCCGATACTTAGACTCGATCGCTCCAACATTAATTATAGGTACTATATAATATATAATTAATTGTGTATATATATATATATACATACACACACACACACACACACACACATATATACATATACACACACCCACACAGTGCAAGGAGCCACCCTTCTTAAATACTCGAGCCTTCTTTATTATCTATTTACTACGACACTAATTGTATCATAGCATGTTGGATATAACAACTATTTCGATTAAACTCGATCAATTATATTTATAATATTTATCATATGTGTGCTTTCATATAAATTACACTTAATATCCGTATACGTGTAGTAGATTATTATAAAAGTAAATTTTATTAAAGAAAATTTATGCAAGTAAGTATCTTTATTTCTCAAACTTTAAAGTGAAACACACGGAAAAATAAATAGCGTAGTAGCTTAGCTGGACTTAATCACTTTAAAGTATCTTTATTTCTCAAACTAGTATAGAAGAAGAAAGTTAAAAACAGAATGTAATGAAATGAAATTTAGATAAACTAAGAGGAACTAAAAGGAAAATTGCTAGCTGTAACAATTGAACCATCTGTTCTCCAAAATTTTGGTAATTATGCTGCAGCATACTATCAAAAACATCAATAATAGGCTTTTCTTGAAACATTAATTGTCTCTCCAGATTTCAACATATCCTCTTCCCAGCATCTTTATACAAAACATTTCCCTTTGCCACTCTTATTATATAAAAGCTTATCTAATCATCCTATACTATATTTTGTTGCTTTTGATATTTAGGGTAAATAAATATCCACACGATATTCAAAGAGATGCAGTAGAATGATATGCCCAGAAATCACGATGCTGTTAACACAATAAACTTGACAATTGGCAATTAGACTATATAATTAGAGGAAACTAAGGGTGTTCTTAATAAAACTAGAGGTATCTTGCATCTATAGGTGATATGTAAAATTAGAGGATACCATAACTCCAACAGATTTCAATATGGCTATTGACGAGCTATACATAACCAACCACACGATTCAGGTATACAGAAAAAATGACATCTTTATGCATTGGATGCAGAAAATTTACCAAGATTGCAGCAAAACCAACCCATTATAAATAATCAGATAAGGTTCATAAAAGAGTTTTTTCAACATGCTGAATCCATCACAACCACTGCTTTTAATAAATTTACCAACTTCTAACCACACCAATCAAAGTAAGAGAGTTTAGGTAATATAAAGTCATTAGCCTTATCAAATATTGTTCTAGAAGATGATATCAATACAACCAATTAACTAAGTCCACATTTGATCTAGAAAAAAGAGATGCATGTTGAAGAGCAAAAATCATGATTTGTAGCACATACTAGTTAGAAGTATGAAAAGTTTTCAGAGGCAAGAGATCCCACCATTTGACATTCTAATCTCCATCCAATCAAGAAATCAATTTAAAAGATAGTGACTTGAGAAACATGATTTTAACTTACCAAATTCTCAGCACCAGGAAGGTTTCCTTTTTTGGCAAGATTGACAACAAGCTCAAGATTATTCAACTGCAACAAAATTTATACAAAATTTTATGTCTTTCATGGTCATAGATTACCAAATTTTACAGTACTGGAAATGCATCTACATAAATATATTACACCAGAAAGATACGAAAGCATACGTACTTGGCCACTGACAAAAGGAACAATTGTTGCTTCATTTACTGTGGCTAAGTAGAAGGAATTCATTAGACTTGAAATTCAAGACTATCATCAATCACAAAATCATGACAATAAAAGTCCAATTTTTGGGGCATTTTTTCTTAAATTTCCTTTCATATTATTTGATTTTTGGGCCATTTTTCTTAAAAATCCATTCAAGACTATCATCTATGATTTGAGCGTTTACCTATTACAGATTCTTGAATAGCTATTTCATATCATCTATGATTTGGTTTATGATTTTTTCTTTCTATTGCTTGGATTCTTCAAAAAGCATACAAACATCGAATGTACAGCTGCATTTCAGAAACATGTTTGATTTTGAAAGTGGAAGTCACATTACCTCTATACAACTCCATCAGCAACTACGGAAATTGGAAAATGAGACCTAGAAATTAAAGAAATTGAGAAAGAAAAGAAAGAGGGCAACTTGATTCAGTTCACATTAATTTTTTTAAACCTAGGATTTGAAACAGTATAAAATTCCTAAGTTTCAAAGTACTTTGGGGGAAATCATAAACGAAAAAGGAGAGGGTGAGTGAGAAAGAGAGAAAGGAGGAGGGAGGGAGGGGTCGAATTACCTGGGAATGGAGTGAAGTGAGAGAGAGAGTTAGGGAGGGAGGCGTCTGTGGAGTGGAAGATACAGGGGAGAAAAATACGATGTGAATAGAATGAGGGAAAACTTAAGTTACGTGAATAATAATAATACTTTCCCACGACTACCTCTCTATGGGAAATATTTTTCATAATTATAAGAAAAAATTTAAAATTTAAAAAATATCTGTTCACACTGAGTCTATGGGAATATGTAAAAATATTTTTATTTATTGTTTAAGTTCCCACTGTCTTCACTGGAAATTTTTTTTATTTTTTATATAATTATTTTTTTAATGACTTTTCCCACAGAATTAAAGGGAACTAAATTATGCGCATTTTTACGCCAAACTGTTCCCACGGATAGTCAATGGCAAATGTTATTATTTTTCTAGGAATTGTTTTTTAATTTTCCCATTGTATTTCGATGGGAATTTCCCTGTGATGACCCAAAATGTCATCTTTAAATTTAATAAGTAATTCTGTGTGAAATGTCATCTTTAAATTTAATAATTAATTATGTATTCTATGACCTCAAAAAGTACTATTTATCATTCCTCGACTTGAGTGCGTAGTCCGTAAAATTTTTTAGAAAGTTTTTATGTGAAAAATGGATTAAAATATGAATTTGAGCTTTAAAACTATACTAAATTGACTTTGGTCAATATTTTGAGCAAACGGACTCGGATCAATATTTTAAAAGTTTGGGTAGGTCCGTATCGTGAATTGGGACTTGGGCGTATGCCCAGAATAAAATTCCGAGTTTCCTAGCCCGAGATATGGAATTTTGATGAAAAATTAAAAGTTTAAGTTCAAATAGTGATCGGATGTCGAATTTTGTGCAAACGACCCCGGAATAGAATTTTGATGATTTCAACAGCTCCGTATGATAATTTTGGATTTAGGAGCGTGATCGTAATTTTATTTGAAAGTCCGTAGTGAAATTAGGCTTGAAACGGCTAAAATAGGAATTTAAAGTTTGGAAGTTTGACCGGGGAGTTTACTTTTTGATATCGGGGTGGGAATCCAGTTTTGTAAATTTTCACAGCTCCATTATATCATTTATGACTTGTGTACAAAATTTTAGGTCAATCGGAATTGATTTGATATGTTCCGGCATCGAACGTAAAAGTTGAAAATTTTTGGTTTCATTAAGCTTGAATTGGGGTATGATTCGTGGTTTTACCGTTGTTTGATGTGATTTAGAGGTTCGACTAAGTTCGTATGATATTTTAGGACTTGTTGGTATATTTGGTTGAGGTCCCGAGAGCCTCGGGTGAGTTTCGGATGGTTAACGGATCAAAAGTTAGATTTACAACAGCTGCTGCAATTTTTCCTTTCTATTGGAAATTCTGGCCGAAAATCGAGGCCCAAAAATCGAGCTCCCAAGATCGAGCTCCCAAGATCGAACTGGATAGATCGAGCTCCCAAGATCGAACTGGACAGATCGAACTCCCAAGATCGAACTAGACAGATCTGTAAGTTATAAAAACAGAGGCATTCAACCCATTTGCCATTTTTGAGAAACTTGAGCTTGAACAGAGGCGACTTTTGACAGATTTTTAAGGAAAGACATTTGGGGCAAGTGATTTCAACTCAGATTTGGTCTATATACACAAATATATCATTATTTTCACCATTTAATTAGTGCTTTGAGATTGAAATTTGGAAAATTTTAGAATTCTCATAGATATGAATTTTTGAGATTTCGGTGTCGATCCGGAGTCCGATGGGAGAGAAACTGGTATGGTTGGACTCGTAATTGAATGGGTTATCGGATTTTGTAATTTCACTGGATTCCGAGATGTGGTCCCCACAGGCAAAATTTGAGCTAATTTCGAATTTTATTAAAAAATATAATATTTTCTTATGAAATAGATTACTATAATTTTTGTTGACTGTATCGAATTAATTATGACTAGATACGAGTCGATCGGAGTTAGAAAAATCGAGGAAAAGGCATAATACTTGGTTAAATTAAAGCAAGTCGAGGTAAGTGACTTGTCTAACTTTGTGTGGGGGAAATTCCCCTAGGATTGATAATTGTAATGTGTGGACAGTCGTGTACATGAGGTGACGAGTATGTACACGGGCTAAATGTGAAAGATTATGTTTTAAATTGTGTATATCACTGTTGCACATTAATTAAATTATTTTATTTTGTTATATTCTTCATTATTGATTTAATGTTTATATTTTTAAATTTGCGTGACCTTTTTCTGCTAATTATTTTATCTGTTTAGTTGGAACTTAGTTTCTTTTATTCTGTGCATTATTTGAAGGTTGATTTTCTTTAAATTAAATATTATTAATATGAAGTATTTGACATTTTTAAACTTGATATTGAAGTAACGTATTAAAGATTTTGAAATATTATTTTCCTGTATTATTTACTCTTGAATATTTTTGTAAGCTTTTCATACTCATTGTGATGGAGCAGTGAGCTCTTTATTGTGGAAAAATATTATTGTTGAATTATTTTGACATGAGCCGTGAGCTCTTTATTATGAAAAAATATTATTGTTGAATTATTTTGACATGAGCCGCGAGCTCTTTGTTGTGAAAAAAATATTATTGATGATTTATTTTGGCATGAGCCATGAGCTCTTTATTGTGAAAAAATATTATTGTTGAATTATTTTAACATGAGCCGTGAGCTCTTTATTGTGAAAAAAAATATTATTGATGATTTATTTTGGCATGAGCCATGAGCTCTTTATTGTGAAAAAATATTATTGTTGAATTATTTTAACATGAGCCGTGAGCTCTTTATTGTGAAAAAAAATATTATTGATGATTTATTTTGGCATGAGCCGTGAGCTCTTTATTGTGAAAAAATATTATTGTTGAATTATTTTGGCAAGCTAAATTATTTGAGCACTTGAGGTGCAAATTGTGATATTGATACGCATGTGGTGGTATAAGGTCTGGGTATTGAAACGCATGCGGTGAGATAAGGGTGGCTTGATACGCATGGCTAGTAGGGAAAAACTACTAGAAGGCATGCCGTATGATAAAGATGGCTAAAACGCGGGATGCTATTTCGGAAAAAATATTTTCTTTCAAATAAATTGTGAAGGCTCCCGCGGTGAGATAAAGAAATGAGATATTGTGAATTTGTTTATGATTTGGGACTACGAGGCGGTACCTCGGGAGTGCCCTTGTTGATATTGATTTATGGCCGCAGTTGCCTTTGATTATTGTGTGATTTTCTTAAAGTTGAAAAGAATTCTGTTTTGTTTTCACGAGGTATTTATTTGCCATTATTTGATGTAATTAAATGTGACACACTACTTGATTCATTTTCATTATTATTTTATCTTTTAATATTGTTTAAACATTTTACCATGCCATTATTTTTTCTCCAGTAGGGCCTGACCTGACCTCGTCACTACTCTACCGAGATTAGGCTTGGCACTTACTGGGTATCGCTGTGGTATACTCATACTATGCTTCAGTACATCTTTTTGTGCAGATCCAGGTACATCTTATCAGAGCATGCATCAATAAACTAGCTGTACGAGGAGACTTCGAGGTATATCTGCCAACGCCCGCAGACTCCGGAGTCCCCTTCTATTCTTGTTATGTTGCTTCCTTATTTTCTTTAGACTCTGTTATATAGAGACATCGATGATAAATTTTTAGAAGCTTGTGACTCATTTCTACCGGGTTTTGGGAGTTGAAATTGTTTGAATTGTAGTTTAATTATTTCAGATATTTACTATTATTCCGCATTGATAGGCTTACCTAGTCTTAGAGACTAGGTGCCATCACGACATCCTACGGGGGGAATTTGGGGTCATGACAAGTTGTTATTAGAGCTCTAGGTTCATAGGTGTCATGAGTCACAAGCACGTTTAGTAGAGTCTTGCGGATCGATACGGAGACGTCTGTACTTATCTTCGAGAGGCTATGGAACTGTTAGGAAATATTCACTTCTTTGACTCCTTATCGTGCGATATTGATTTAGCTTGAAACATATATCTTATATTCCTTTGTATCCACTCGTGTATGACATTACGCACTCGGTATCAGTTGTGCGTCGACGGTTCGTGATGCCGCAGATGGACTATGAGGGAGCCAGAGATGCTCAAACATTGCCTCAATGTGTGGTTCCGACTAAACATGCGGGCGTATTGAGAGATCACCTAGTGAATCATGTGGGGGTGCAACGGACGTTGGCGTCTGGTTGATTTATACTAGCTGTGAAGGTTATTATTGTGGATCATCGGACATTGTGACCTATGACTTCGCACCGAGTGGAGGGAATCCACTACCAATGGGTGAATTGTGGGGTCATATATTATATCAGTTTTGGCCTGAAATGTATATATGTGGTACTGAAAAGTTCCCTAAAATTTACACATGTTTAAGACTTGAGATTTTGTAGAGGATAAGGTTGGGACTTGCGGTATGTCCGCCTCCTTAATAATCCTATACTTCAATACCAAAGGAGTTATAGAAACAACTCTAAATTTGTAGAAGGTCTACTCAGCGTGGACGTCACTGTTGCGGATTTTGGGGTGCTTCGGAGGAAGTACACTTGTTGACGAGAGTCTAGACTATGTGGTTCGTGACAAAATTTTTCTGTATGGAGCTCTACTTTTCTGATCGTTGTGTATAAATAGGGGTAAGGGTTACCCCAAAGAAGAATCGAAGAGTATGTTAAGAAATTGATCAGCTCAACAGTGTTGAGTCAGCATAACAAAAGAAGAAATTTGCCTTGGGAGAGATAATTCTCTACTAGTGTTCGTGTCAAGCCTATGAAGAGGGCAGACCAGCCAATGCAACACCGCCCACTTGGCTCAGTTCTCAAAAATGCTTTTGAAAGAGTTTGTTTCCCAAACTATCCGTAATGCGTGGCGCATAGGGTTCGAACGATTGCGTCATGTCACCATTAACGGTGTCAGAATATGCCATCAAGTTCAATAAGTTAGCCCTTCATACTCCTACTTTGCTTCCTACAGCCAGAGGGCGAGTCCACAGACTCATTAAAGGACTCAATTATGATCGTAAAATTTTGTACGACTCGGGAGCTATAAACTGATACTTCATTTCTGCTAGT